ACAGACTCTCCCTAGACACACAAACAATAGCCACACAAACTCACAACCACACCCCAAAACACAACCATCCACCATCATACACACACAAAATCATATGAATTCACAATCATAAATATAATCATACCCAAACCAGATACACAACATCTCTCTCTCACACACACTCCTCATCCATGCAAACACAGACATACATGCAGTCATACAAACTCACACACACCAGGTGTGCAACCACAGGCACACACTCAATCACATGACCAAAAACACACACCATTACACCCAAACTACACACTCACAGTTACACACAGGCATGAAAGTACACACATTTTCAAACACACGGGCATAGTTGCCCCAAAACTACAACCAGCTACTTTTCATAAAACACCCATACAAGTGTGAAAACACAGACCCACAAATTCGCACCTATAGCCCCACTGACTCTCAAATGCATTCACATACAACTACCCTAAAGAGCATCTTCACTCACAAACACACACAAATACACACATGCACATACACAACGATCTGACTCTGCCCATTCCTAATGTTTTACAGAAGGGGAAACTGAGGCACTGAGTAACCGAAGGTCCTTTATAGGGGGACACCCCTCTTGACTCTGGACCCAGGCTGCCGCCCGGCGCCCCCTGCCGGCCCAGCCCCTCCAAGAGCGCGCGGGGCTGCAGCGGCGCGAGAGAGCGGGCACGCGCCTGACGTAACCATGGCATCCTCTTGGCACGCGCGGCCCGCGCACGGGGAGGGCAGGGCGGGCGCGTTGCCATGGCGCCGGCGGGCCGCGTGAATGGGGCATTGTTCGCCTCGGCGCCCGGGCCGGGCTGTCCCGGACCCACCCGGACCCACCCGGGCCGGCAGAGACGGAAAGAGACAGAGATGGAAAGAGACAGAGATGAGGGAGAGACAAAGATGGAGAGAGACGGAGGTAGGGAGAGACAACAGATAGGGAGAGACAGACAGAGCTGTAGAGGAGAAAAGAAAGACACTTAGAAGCCAAGAGGGAGAGACAGATAGGTGAGAGAGACCTGCGAGATGGAGAGAAATGCACCAAGGAGGAAAGACGGATGGAGGGGCAAGACCAAGGAGAGGCAGAGCTGGGGCTAGAGATGTAAGACGAAGGGCTGGGGTAGGGGACAGAGCAGGACCAGCAAGCCAGTATCTACAGAGCCCACTGTGCCTGGTGCTGTTCTCATCAGTGGGACCAGGCACAGGACCAGGACCTCCAGACAGTCAGAGACACCGAGAGGTGGGAGGAGATCCAGCCAGAGAGACCCAGTGAGAGGGAGGGTCAGAGATACCAGGAAGGGAATGAAGGTGACCCTCAGAGGGGCTCTGGCCCCACCCACTCCAGTCCCTCCTCCATTCCCCTTCACAGCATGCTTCTCCTGTTTGACACTCTTGGAAGGCACACCTCTGTCCTACACATCTTCACACACCTGCTGACAAGACATCTTCAACACAGGGATTTAGTCATTGGGGACACTGCTCCAGACACTCCAAGACACCCTCATGGACCCAGTGACACCTACAGACACCCAGTGACACAGCCATGGTCAGATACACCCGTATGACAGGGACTCCAGAGTGACACAGTTATAGATACAGGCCCCATAGATGCAGTGTCACATGAGGACCCTGCCAGACAGGTGGTCCCAGACATAGCCACACACCACCACATGGGCTCACTCTCCACGGAATGCTGTCATGTGGCCACCCCAAACACACGGTGCACCCTCACACCTGCACGTTTTCCTGCACTCATTGACACCACCAGACACGTGCTCTGTCCATCCTACATTTGACCCAATGACTGGGTGCCCTGGCCTCTGGCCCTGATTGGGGGATCTGCGGGGGTGCTGAGTCCAGTTCTGCAAGTCTGACAAACAAACATCAGTCACCTGCTACAAAGAGAAGGGGGGAAGGGGAGGGGAGGGATGAGGAGGGAGGTGAAGCCCCGCTCCCCTCCCCCTCAAAGGGCTGAGTCAAGCAAGGCCAGTGTACTCCCAGAACTCCTTCATGGTTGGGTCATCTTGGTCCAAATCTGGACCAAGGGTGTCCCCTGGTGGCCATATGTGGTCTCTGCATGTATCAGATGTGATGGCAGGCAGCCACCCAGCCTAAACAGAAGGGCAAAGAGGACAGGCCCAGGCTCAACACAGAGCCCAGAGATCAGAAGCCAGGATCTGGAAGCCAGAACCCAAAGGCAGAATTCAGAGCCTGGAATCCAGATCTTAGAATCCAGAATCCGAATCTAGATTCCCAGGTACTATGATCCAAACTCTGAATCCAAGAACTGGGTACCCAGAATCTAAAAATCCAGGTCCAAGTACCCAGAATCCAGAATCCAAAAATCTAAATCCTGTCCTCAGAATCAAGGACCCAGAATCCAAAGCCAAGAACCCAGAGCCCAGAGCCCTCCTTAGAGCCAGCCCCCTGCCTTCTCCCAGCCCCCAGATTATGGCTGGGCAGCCGGGGCTGGCGAGGGCGAGAACAGACTGAAGAGGCAGAATAGCCCCACAGTGACCACACAGAGCCTCTCCTAGCTGCTGCCTCGTGTGTTTACACACATGCAAACACACACACTTCAACAGGATCTTACACACAGACCCACATGCCCAACCATACAGCCCGTGACCGTCCGATATACAGCACAACACCCCCTCAGATGCACACACACAATCACATACATACATGCCATCACATACACCTTGACACAGTAGTCCCTAAACTTTTTGGCACCAGGGACTGGTGCTCCTGTAAGAATCTAATGCCTGATGATCTGAGGTGGAGCTGAGGTGCTGATGCTAGTGCTGGGGAGCGGCTGCAAATACAGATGAAGCTTCACTGGTCTGCCTGCCGCTCACCTCCTGCTGTGTAGCCCAGTTCCTAACCGGCCACAGACTGGTACTGGTCTGTGGCCCAGGGGCTGGGGACCCTTGCATTGACACACACCATCACCTAGACACCCGGCCCACCATTTGCTCCTCTCCCAGTATGTGGACATGCTGTCATCTGTATACCTAAACAATCCCAGAGGTTCCCTCCACCTCTGGCCATATCACCAAGCTCAGACACACAGCCACCACACCCAGAGATGCACAAAAACCCAGACTCCTAACCCTACACCCAGACATGCTTGCAGAATGATGCAGGCTGGCATGCGCACATGCGCGCACATGCACGCGCGCGCGCGCGCACACACACACACACACACACACACACACACACACAGAAACTCTCCGAAGCACGGAGAAGCCCCATGCCTTGGCAGCTATGAAGCCCCTGGGAACAGGACCCCTGGGGCCGGGCTCTCCGCGCACCCCCGTGCCCACCCCACCCCTCCCCTGCCTGGCCGGCTGGCGGGCTTTAATACAGATGCCAAACTCATAATTGTAACTGAGGGTGACAGGGTCACCTTGAGCCCCAGATGCTCGCGTGGTGACAGATGGCGTTGGCAAACCTGATTAGCAGCCCTCGTGCCAGCGCCTGTGGCACCTGCATCCCTCCCCCTCCCCCCAATCCCCCAGCACTCATTACCCACCCATTACTGGGCCTGGAGGGCGGGGGTGGGGGCTGGCTGGCACTGCCCGGGAGGGGGCAGGGACTCTGGGGCCCCCCTGGCACCAAGGTTCCCAGCTGGCTTCCTGGCTGGCAGGAGGTAGGCACAGCTGAAAGGAGGGAAAGCAGGAGCCTCATATGCCTGCCAGAGAGAGAGGTGCCCGCGGTGCCAAGGCTGAGCTGCCCACTCGGACGCTGCCTAGAGTTTGGCACAGAACCTTGGTGGGAGAAGAGAGAGTGCACCCCCCACCGTGGGCCCCTCATGACCCCCCTCCCACCCAGGGCCCTTGGAGCAGGGCCTTGGGAGCTGCCCGCCCGGCCTGTTCCCACCCCTCTATGCAGGCCTGTGGGGTCAGAGGTCATGGGCTCCCACGCCCCACTGGCCCATCTGTTTCCTCAGGTCCACTCCTTCTGCTCCCCTCACCTGGGGCCTTCCTTCCTGAAGCAGGAAGAGGGCTGAGGGGGGCCTGGCCGCCCAACCCCCACCCCGCGCTCCGGGGAGCATTTGGAGGCAACCCTGACAGCGCCACATGTCCCTGTGTCTGTGCCAGACGGGCCCATCTGCTAGGGCCCCGGTTCCAGCCGCCCAAAGCCAGGCCGTCCTCGTCCACTGTAGACCCTGAGCCCAGCTGAGGAAGAAGCACTCCCCGTGCCCACATTCCACAAGGCCGCCCACTCCCAGGGAACCCAAGTTGGAAGAACAAACACACACATACACGTATATACACAACACTGGGCTTGGCCAACCTTTATGGTTCCTGTAGAATGCCACACTGGGCATGGGGTTGGGTGGAGACTGGGGGTGCAGCTGGGAGTACGTGGGTACTGCCTCTGACTTAGGGAGCCCAGGTTTCCCCTAGGAACTATATCCGCCTTCCTGCCTTGGTTTCTTTGGGTCCCTAGGACAGGGTCGTCACTGTGACTCCTGGTCTGGGTGGGGCTATCTGTCCTCCCTGCAGTTGGGAGTACGTCTTTGACTCATTCTGTGAGAGGAAGTCCAGCCTGGTGGTTTAAAGCGGGCGCCACACTGCCTTGGGTTTGAATACCGGCTCTGCCAAGTACTGCTGCGTGACCCTGAGTAAGTGGCTTTGCCTCTTGGGGCGTCAGTTTCCTTCTCTGTAAAATGGGGTGACACTTCTATGTCATCGGGTGGCTCTGAGGATGACACAATACATGTCAAATGCTTAGGGCCAGGCCTGGCGAACAGTAAGCGCTCAAAAAGTGTGTGCTATGGCTACAAGGGGTCCACCTCTACAGCTGGGCTGTGTCTTGTGTCCCCAGGCGCGGAGTGATGACTCTGGAGGCCCATCTCACGGTCCCTGCGTCTTGGGTCTCTTTGACCCAGTGTACATGATCCAGGTCGGCGTCTTTCTCGGCCTGTCTCCCCACAGCTCTCCAAGGTGTGTGTGTTTGTGTGTCTGTTCATGATGCTCAGCTTACACCTCTGAGCTGCACTGACACTCCTCGACCAGCACGGTGGATGTCTTCACCCGCCGATGGGAGGCTGGGCTGCCCACCCGACACCAAAGGACCACGGACGCCCAGCGCCTGTGAGAAGGCACACAGCTGTTGCAGAGGACAAGCGGGGTGGGGTCCACACCAGGCACGTAGAGGGAGGAGCAGCGGCCAAAGCAGAGGTGATTGCGGAGGCGCACGGCCGTGCAGCCCAGCCGGGAGAGCACCTGGGTCCAGAAGCAGGGAGACGGGTCAAGGGCAGTGGAGTCTGGGGTCGAAATGGCGAGAATAGTCGCTCGTTCACTTCTACCCCACCTTGAGAGGCATGGATGCCTGACCTCAAATCCCGACTCTGCCATCTGCTAGCTGTGTGACTTATTGGTAAGTTATTCAACCTTTCTGGGCCTCACTTTCTTCACCTGTGAAATCATCGAGGGTCAAACAGGAAAAAAAATCACTCTAGGCCTTTCGACAGAGAGGATTAATCCAGAGAAGGGCTGAGGGACAGCAGGAAGAGGTGGCATTACAGGAGTCTGGGGGTGGGGCTTACACAGAAACCCTTAGCCCGCTACTGGACACGCAATCAGTGCTCAAAAAGTGTTAGTTCCTCCCGCGATCACCTCCAACTAAGTGGATCTATCGACTCACCGCCCCCCTCATCATGGCCCTTCTCTGTTTAAACCCTGCACTCCCATCTCTGTTCCTCTTCCACCCCTCAGCTCCCACTCTGCCCCTCACAGCTACCCTAGCCTCTTGCCCTGAATCACACAGAAATCAGCAGTTAAGGCAGACCTTGAACCCAGGTACACCTGGTTCCAAAGCCTGGGCCATAAACAACACACGACACAAATTCCTACAGCCGTTATGGAGCACCAGCTGAATGCAACTGAGAGAATGCTGTGCATCCTCCTCTCATTCAGGCTACCTGACAGTGCTTAGGAGGCAGGTTCATCATTTAACAAACACTGAGCTCCTGCCATGTGCCTGGCTCTGCTCTAGGGTGTGGAGATGGGGACACAGAGGTACATACATAAGGCTTAAAAATCCCTGCCTTGGTGGAGCAGACATTCTACTGAAGGAGAAAGATGATAAATGAAATTATAGAATCCATTTCATTTGTTAGGTGATAATGTGTACTACAGCAATAAGAAAAGGGGGAATGGGGTGGGAGGCGCTGTGTTTTTTCATGACACTTGAGTAAAAACCTAAAGGAGGTGAAAGAAGGAGCCACACAATGTCTGTGGCAGGTGGGTGTTAGAGGCGAGGGAATAGCCAGGGCAAAGGCCCCGAAGTATGTAACGTTAGCGCGTCTGGGGAGAAGCAAAGAGGCAGGTGTGGCAGGAGCAGAGTGGGCGAGGGGGAGACGGGAGGAGGCGGGGGCAGGGAGGAGACAGGCAGGTGGTTCAGGGCTTCGTGGGCAGAGGGAAGGACTTGGGCTTTTGCTCTGAGTGAGGTCGGAGTCATGGAGGGTTCTGAGCGAAAGAGAGATGTGACCTGACTCAGGTGCTCGCAGGAGCCCTGTGGCCACTAAAGAGAAAAACGGACTTGGGAGACAGTGTGGCGATAGCAGAAGCTGGGAGGGCAGGATGGGGGCGACGGCACTGGCACCGGTGGGGGAGGCTTAACCCCCATTTTATCAGAGAGAAAACTGAGGATCAGAGACAGGTAAAGAAAGCAGGGCTTGACCCCAAATCGGGCGTCACAGCCCGTGCTTTCGGCCAACGCTAAGACCCAGCCCTCTCCTTCCCCCACCCACACACTCACCTGAGTGAAGGGCACAGCCTTGCACTTCTCCTGGGCCACTTCCTGCGGGTCCAATGGAAGAGTCATGGTGGCAGCCCTCTCCTGTCCACGCTGCAGCCTGCCTGTCCCCAGCCGCTGAGTTTTTTGCAGGTCCAAGAAGGCCTTCCAGCTGCTGAGGGCAGAGGATGGCACCAGGGAGGCCAGGGTTTGGGTCTGATTGGCGGCAGCCCGGGGCTGGGGTGGCGGACCCTGGGGTCCAGGCCTCCCCAAGCCCATGGGCAGCCAGGCTCCACTGAGCAGGCTCAGGAGAGTGGTCAGTTGGCTGAGGAGCATCTGTCTGTCTGTCTCTGTCTGGGACTGGGCTCAGGGTCCTGGGCAGTTGACCCTGCTGTCTGGTGAGTGGAGTCTGTGCCCTCCAGACCCACTTTTAATGGTCTGCACCCCACCTAGACAGCCTGGGAGGCACCTCTGGGAACCCACCATGGGGAGGAGAGTAAACCCAGACCTGCTGAGTTCCCACCCCTCCCCCCAGCCTGGTGGGGTACCCAGGGGCTGGGCCTGCGGGTGTGTGGGCTGGGGGACCAGGAAGGGCAGGTCTCAGGGTATACTGCCAAAGTCCCTGAGGGCTCCTTTCCCGTTGGGCCCCATTCATCCATTTAGCAAAATCATACTTGGCAGTTAAGCTACCTGGGTTTCCATCTCAGCATTGCAACTTCCTGGCTGTGCAACCTTGGTCAAGTCCTTTAACCACTCTGGGCCTCAGTTTTCTTTTCTGGAATATGGAGATAACAACAGTCCCTTCCTGGTAGGGTTGTTCTGAGGACTCAAGAGATATTTTATCTCAGGAGTTTAAAATAGCGGCTGGTACACAGAAACACCATGAGTAAGCTGTGATTAACATTGATGGTTTTCCTTTAGCACCTATTAGAGGCCAGGCATAATTTTGAGCCCTGGGGATATAGGTAAACAAGACCAAAAAAAAAAAGTTCCTCCCTGCCACGGATACCTTGTTGTGCAAAAAGAAACAATATAAGATAAATAAGATGATTTCGGAGTCGTTAAGTGTTAAGAAGACATTAAAAAGGGAGGTGTCTTGGCAGGGGCTCCTGCCCCCAGGGTGGTCAGAGAAGGCCTCCCTGAGAAGGTGACATTTTCGCAGGGCCTTGAGGTGGTGTCGCAGGCGATGTGAACAGACTTGGGATGGGGGGGAGGGGAGGCAGGTGGAGGTTGAGTGCTTGAAGCACAGAGGTGTGCGAGCGGAGTCCCAGGCTCTGGAGCCCCGGGAACACCGGGGGATCCTGGCTGGGTCCTGGGACCTCAGCGGGCCCCATCTCGCACCCAGGTGAGGCGCCGCAGGCTGCGAGGCCGTGGGAAGCTGCAGGGCGGAAACTTCCCGCGCCCTGCAGGTTGCGCGTGCGACGGGGCGCGCTCGCCCTCTGGCGGCGGCTCTTGCGACTGCGCGCTCGGCTCTCGCGACTTGTCTCCTGGACGCTCCACCTGAAGGTGCGCTGGCGCCACCCATGCACCGCATTACATCCGAGCCCCTGAGCGTCCCCCAACCTGCCCTTTCGCTGTCCTCTAAACCCAGCTAACAGCAACTCCGTTCAGCCAGGTGCTAAGGCCTCAAACTGAAGCATCCTTGACCCCTCTCTTTCTCTGATTACATCCCCTCCCCAAGCTGGTATGACAGCAAGTCGCATCCGCTTCAAAATGTACCCAGAATCCGCCCACTTCTCACTCCCTCCTCGGTCCCCCACCTGGACATGGCCTCCATTATTTCCGACCTGAACCGGTATACCTCCTCCGCGGTCCCACATCTCCCGCCTGCAAAGTCTGTTCCCCCCACAGCTGCCAGAGGGCGCCTGTGAGCCCCTGAGTTCCAGGCAAGTCCCTCTTCTGCGCAGAACCCTCCAGGGCTCCCACCTCACCCAGGGTAACAGCCAAAGTCCTCACTGCAGCCCACCAGGCCTCGCATTGTCTACTCCTACCTCCTCCCCACCCTCCACTCTTCCCCATTCTCTGACCCTTCGGCCACACAGGCCTCCTCGCTGTTTTCCGACTCACCAGGCATAATCCCATAATACTGCACAGCTGTACAGGACTGTGCATACTTATATAGTTTCAACATGGAAAGATACCCAAGAAAAATGAAGTTAAAATTTTTCGGAACAGGGTGTCTATTATACCCTAACCTGTTAGGGAAGGTGGACAAGAATCTACAGCTACAAATTATTTGTATTTGCATATTGAAAAGCACAGAATTTTTCTGTTGGGAAGGGGCATGGAAATGGGGGATGGGATGGGAGCGGCTTCACTTTGGAGTTTAAAAATTGTAACCATGCAAAAAGAAATTTAAGAAAAGAAAACGCACAAATAAAAGCAATTTATACCTTTCCTGCCCCTTGCTTTTTTTTTGTCCCTTGCTTTTTAACCGAGCTTAGACATTCAAATAAGTATAGACAAAAATGCAACAAACCCTGCTATATTCATCACCTCGATTAAGAAATAAAAGATTACAGATATGAGAGAAACTCACTCTATTCTTGTCCTCATCCCTGAATTTGCCAATTATAATCCTCATGGCTGTATTCAGTTTTACTACATACATATCCATTCAGAAATGATACATGATTGTTTTGTTTTAAACTTAACATATTTGATATCATAATGTATAGATCCTTTTAACTTTGATCCTTTTAACTTTGTATTTCCTCCTTTTCACTGCTGAACAATATTCCACTGCACATATTTTCCCCAAATTTATTTCTCCATTATCCAAATTTTAACTATCATATTCCTTCAAAGAATGTTTTGGAACATGACTCTTTTGCACCTGGCTTTTTGCATCTACTGTGTCCGGGACTTCGCCCATATCAGTGGTTCATGGGTCGAGTCACTTATAAGTGGGGAATTGATGCCCAGACCCTGTTCCAGATCAATTGCACTGTCATCTCTGGGGATGGGCCCCAGGCACTGGTGTTTTTAAAAAGCACCCCAGGGCTACTGTGACCCCCTGGGCTGTATCGTTATTTACAGTAGTAGGTCTCAAACTGCATCAGCATTGCCTGGAGGGCTCCCATACAGAGGCTCCATCCGAAAGTATCTGAGTCTGTGAGGAAGCCTGAGAACCTACATTTCTAACAAGTTCCCAGGTGATGTTGATGCTGATGGTCTGGGGAACACATTTCGAGAAGCATGACATAGCACCCTTATTTTTTAACATTTGCATAATATTCCATCCTATGGGTAGTCAGACATTTTTTAACAAGTCCTCTATTCTTGGACATTTAGGTTCTTTTCCATCTTTTGTTACAAGAAAAAAAAAATTTCTTACAATGGAATATATCATTCAGCTATAAAAATGAATGAAGAACTATATTAATTTGCTAGGGATGCCATAATAAAGTACCATAGACTGTGGGGCTTTAACAACAGAAAGTTATTGTCTCATGGTTCTGGAGGCTGGAAGTCCAAGATCAAGGTGTCTTCAAGGTTGGTTTCTTCTGCGGTCTCCTCAGCTTGTAGAGGGATGTCTTCTCCTTGTCTGTGTCCAAATTTCCTCTTTTTATAGAGACACCAGTCACATTGGATTACGGGCCCTCCCTAATTACCTCATTTTAACTTAATTACCTTTTTAAAGACTATATTTCTAAATATGGTCCTATTCCGAGATACTGATGGTTAGCACTTTAACACATGAATTTCGTGGGCCATAATAAGTAGTGATGTTACAATATGAATGAACCTCGAAAACATGCTAAGTAAAAGAATATAAATACAAACGGTCACATATTGTATGACTTCGTTTATATGAAATATCCAAAATAGGCAAATCCATAGAGATGGAAAGTAGATTAGTGGTTGCCAGGGACTAAAGGGAGCTGGAGTGACTGCTAACGGGTCTAGAGTTTCCTTTTAGTGTGGTGAAAATATTCCAGAATTAGGTAGAGGTTGTGGTTCCACAACATTGTGAATGCACGAAATACTACTGAAGTTTCCATTTTAAAAGATTTATATAATTTGAAGAGAAATCACAGAGTATGAAGTTTTCATTTTAAAATGATTAATTTTATGTTGTGTGAATTTTACCTCAATTTAAGTACTGCCCTCAGAAGCCCCTCTCCCATTGGTATGAGTTGGTACCCGCTGTGTACAGAGCCCTGGAGGACAGCTGAAACTCATCCCGGGCTGGTTTGACATCAGAGCACCTACTCCACCTCCAGGCTGGTGTTTCTCAGAGTGGTTCCCAAATTTGCTGGTCTGGGAGGAAACTGCAGCTTAAAAGTCCCACCTCTGACTGCCCTATAGCCCCATTCCAGGTACTTTCTTACTCCTTCACCTCCATTATAATTACTTCCGTGTCTCACCCCAAAGACTTTGAGCTGTTTGAGGCCAGGGACCATCTCTACTTTGTTTCTAATATCTTCTAGGATCCAAGGAGTAGAGGAGGTATCTGCTGAGTAAAACCTAAATGACAAGAGCAAGACTGCCATATAAAGAACCCAGGAGCAAGTTCTAGGCATGGTAACAGCAAAGGTGGCACAAAGGTCCTGAGGACAGTGCAGGTGAGGGAGGGCATGGACACATGGCCCCTTCTATTTCCTAGTGTGTCCTCCTGTTTCTACGCGTTGACCCACTCAATGTCTTTTCTGCTCAGCAGCCAGAGAATTATAAATCATATCCATCACTCCTCTGCTCAAAGCCCTCCCATGGCTCCCCACTGCCCTTGGAACAAAACTAGAAGCCCTCGCCATAGCCTATGATGCCTGCCTGGCTGGCCCCTGCGTAACGCTCTGCACTTTACCTCCTCCCTCAATCCACTTCATTCACTGGACCTCAACCACAATGGCAACCTGTCCCTCAGCAAACCCTGAGGAAAGACTTGGATTTGTTAAGTACCCCCTGGAAGTCTCCCCAGGGGTATGTGGGGGCACAGACAGGTCGGCTCACTGTAGCATCATTTCTGCAATCAAAAAAAAAAATCCAAAACAAATGTCCATCAAAACGTGACAGAATAATTATAGTTTATTCACACCAATGGGCAATATTGCAGAGATCTTTTTTCCAAAAAAAATTTTTTTTTTTACCACTAAGGACAGACAGTAAGGAATACATTTTATTTACTGGCCTTGACAAAGTGACCTTGACAATCCTTTGATGGACAAGGTCTCGGATCTCTCCCCTTGAACCTAGATAACCTTTATGACTGGCTTGAGCAATAGAATACAACAGAAATGATGTCATGTGATTTCTAAGATTCAGGAATAAAAATGCCTACACTTCAGCCTTGTTCACTTGGGACCCAGCCATCATGTTGTAAGGAATTTCAAACTGACCTGTATGAGCAGACCACTGTGTAAATATTCCAGGTGATAGCCCAGCTGGGCTCCAGCCAGCATCAATCACAAGACACAAATGAACGAAGATGCCTTCTGATGATTCTGACAGCCAAGATTCAAGTCGCTCAACTTTGAATTCTTCCCAGGTAGAGCTGCAGACAGCATGGAGCAGAGACAAGCCACCCCGTTGTGCCCTGCCCAAATTCCTGACTCACACAATCTGTGAGCATAATAAAAATGGTTGTTTGGAAAAGTTTGTTAACATACAATTGTTAATTGGAATACTAGTATATACATACATGTATATGTGGTAGAAATAAAAGTTTTACCAAACAATACTACCCTTACTACATGTTATACAATCTGATATTTTTATCATATTTTTTCCATTAAAAATAACTGCTATACACCCATAGCAGTATGATTCACAATGGCCAAAAGGTAAAGCAAGCCAAGTGTCCATCAATGAATGAATGGATACGCAAAATGTGGTAAATACACATGATGGAATATTATTCACCTTTAAAAAGGACATTCTGACACATGCTACAGTGTTGATGAACCTTGAGGACATACTGAGTGAAATAAGGCAGGCACAAAGGGACAAATACTGTATGATTCCACTTATATGAGGTCCCTAGAGGAGTCAAATTCATAGAGACAGGAAGAAGAATGATGGGTGCCAGGGGCTGGGGAGGGGAGAATGAGGAGTTAGTGTTTGCTGGGGAGAGAATTTCTGTTTTGTAAGATGACAAAGTTCTGGAGATCAATGGCGGTGATGATTACACAACGATGTGAACGTGCTTAATACCACTAAACAGTATGTTTAAAAATGATTATGATGGTAAGTTTTATGTGCATTTTGTCACAATTTTTAAAAATAATTTTTTAAATGAAAAAATTTTTGTGAATCATTTTTCCCTTAATTACAAACCTGGAAATAAATAAGTGCCGGTTGTAACTCACCTCACTGATTTCCTGAATCAATAATGGGCCCCATGACTCACAATGTAAAAAATACAGCTATACGGCATGTGTAATAAATCTACAGGGATCCATGTGGAAACATCTGGAAACATCTGGAAACCATGAGGTTAAGGGAGAAAAGTTGTAAACTAATACATTCCGGATGATCATTTATGTAAGCTGTTTAAATATAGATATTGTACATTGTTTCCACAGATTCCAGATAAGTAGTGAATGCATAAAGGCTGGTCCTATTAGAATAAACTAATTTCAAAATAATTGTTACTCCTGAGAAGGTCATGGAGGGAATGGGGTGGCATTTGTAGATGGAGGTCTTACTGTCATTGGAGGGTTTCTTGGTAAGGGTCAAGCTTTATCAAAAGGAATTAAAAAAAAAAAGATTCTGGAGCAATCGAGCCAAAGTGTTAATATTTGTTAAACCTGAGTGATGGCATAAGTGACTGTACTTCCTCTGTCCTTGTGAAATAATTTATTAACACTATAAATAAGAATGTATAAAGCATTCTGATATGCTTTATTGCATACTCTCTCGGATACGAAACTAAAACAAGTTGGGGGAGTGCTCAGAGAGGGAGAGACTGGTGGGGGAGTAAGACCGCGCACTGTAATCCTTTTTGTTGCTTGTATTTCCATTTTTAAATTGTGAAATATAATAAATCTACAGGAAAGTGCACAATCCATAGGCAGTTATTTACAGCTTAAAGAATAATTATAACTCAGGCGTCACTGTAGCTCAGATCAAGAAATAACACGGAATATAGTCCACTTAGAGAAAAACAAAAAGAACCAATTGCCCAGTTCAATGACCTGTTACAAAGTGAACCTCCCCTCCCAGCAATGGAACTACCACCCAGATGCCCCTCTCATGCCCAACAGAGGAGTCTGGTCCTGACTTCTAGAATGAAAAGAAATAGTTTGGCCCTACCTCCTTTGTTGCATATGTCTTTGAGACTCATCCATGTCGCTATGAGCAGCTGTAATTTCTGCTCTTGCATTCCTGTGTAGCATTGTTGGCTGAAACATCAAAATTTAGCTCTCCCTTCTACTCTGGATGGACCAGAGTGAGGGTTATTTCCAGCTTTGAACTGATATATATGATGTATATGGTACTTCTATGAACTACAAACATTCTTGTCCAGGATTCCTGGCTTACCAAGGAACTGCAATTTCCTTTCTTTTTCATTCTTTCTTTCTTTATTTTTTTGTGATAAAATATAACTAAAATTTACCATTTTAACCATTTTTAAGTGTACTGTTCAGTGGCATTAAGCACATTCATTCACAATGTTCTATAACCATCACCACGACCCTTCTCCAGAACTTGTTCATCTTCCCAAACTGAAACTGTCCCCAGTAAACACTAACTCCCCATCCTTCTCCCCCAGTCCCTGGCACTTTCTATCTCTATGAATCTGACTCCTCTAGGGACCTCTTATAAGTGGAATCATACAATATATGTCTTTTTGCGACTGGCTTATTTCATTCAGCACAATGTCTTCTTCCAGGTTCATCCATGTTGTAGCATGAGTCAGAATTTCCTACCTTTTTAAGGCTTTTAAAAATTGTTTTTTAAAAATACTGTTTAATTTCTGCACCATGATCAAACATTTTAAAATATAAAAAAACAAAAGGCATAAAGTAATTATTTACAATAAAATTTAAAATATTTGTACATAAATATCTTAATACTTACATAAAAATGTTTTAAATATATTTATTTAAAATAAACATCTAGGTAAGGTTTTAAGTAATTATTTAAAATAAAATGTATAATTAAGATTTTAAAAATTAAAAAGCATAAAATAAAGCAGAAAATGTTATGAACAATATTTAAATACATTTAAAATAAAACAAATATTTCGTCATTTTAGATTTTAAATATGTAAATTAAAACATAAAATATGTAGATTGTTTAAAATTGAAGTACTTAAATGTTCTAAATATTCAAAAGATCATTTAAAATAAATGTTAAATAAATTTAACATAAAAATTAAATGCTAAATATTCAAAATTAAAATACCGTTTTAACAAATAAGTGTTAAAATATCATTTTAAATTATACTTGAAGATGTATAAAAAATATATTACATCCCTCTTCTCCCCACTGCACAGAAGAACTGAGGCAGCAGGGAAACGCTTCGTCCCGCCGCCCCCTTGGGACCTCCCGCACAGGCAGCGTCGTGGCCAGCCCCGCCGGCCCTCAAGGACCCTGCACAGCCAAGATGGCGGCGCCCGTGCGGCAGGCGCGCCCCCTGTTTGGGCTGGCGGCGACGCTGGGCCCAGGCTCCCGGGGCTACCGAGCGCCGCCGCCCCCGCGCCACTCGCCGAGGCCCTGGTGGCCGGACCCGGAAGACCCACTGACTCCACGCTGGCAGCTGGGTCCGCGCTACGCGGCCAAGCAGTTCGCGCGGCACGGCGCCGCCTCCGGGGTGCCCGTCGGTTCGCTGTGGCCGTCGCAGGAACAGCTGCGCGATCTAGAAGCTGAGGAGCGCGAATGGCACCCGAGCCTGGCGGCCATGCAGGAGTCATTGCGGGTGAAACAGCTGGCTGAGGAGCAAAAGCGTCAGGCCAGGTGCGTGCATGCGGTCGGGCAGGCTCCGGGTTGTGGGCAGCGCCCTCCGTTGCTGGAGGGCCGAGTGGGTGAACTGTACCCCAACGGTGCATACTCCATCGGGCGCTTATGGGAGGGAGCAGTTTACATACTGTAGACTTACATGCATGCTTACATAGCTGCAAAATAGACTTCTGAGTATCAGTTCGTTTAGCAAATCTTTACTGAGCGCCTACTGTGTGCCAGGCCGCCTTGTACCAGGTGCTGGGAACAAAATAGAGGATCATTTCAAATGGCGACAGAGAACCATTAGGAAGATAAAACTTGGTGGTGTGCCGGAGAGCGTCTTTGGTTTAGGACTTAAACTTGATGTTTAAGCAAAGACCTGAATGACCAGATGTAGACATGGGGAGATCTTAGGGAGAGTGTTCTGGGTAGAGGGAACAGCTTGGTGCAAAGGCGGAGCTTTGAATGTGAAGCCAAGCTATCAATGACTGGGAAGAGTGGAAAGTGATGGGGTCTGGAATCAAGGGCAGAGGTGGAACGCAGAAACAGGTCTCAAAGATTAGACTTGATAGATGGAGGAAACACACCAGGGGAATCAGGATGGTGCCACCTCCTGGGAGGGGCCAGCCAAAGCAGGCAAGTTCAGGGAGCAGGCCACACATGTTCCTGGTGTTTAACGTCCTTGACCTCACAGCAGCTCCAAATGGGATCACCCTCATTTTATAGATGAAAAAGAAACTTGAGGCCTGGGAAGGTGGAGCCACCAGTCTATTCACTCAGTGAGCAGTGGAGTTGGGAATTCGTAAACCATCTCTCATCTCTGCCCCATCCCAGCTGAATAATCCTGTCGTGTAGCTTTAATTCTTCCAGTTTCATCTTTCTAACCCTTAATATGGGCTGTTAACTGATACCTACAAACTCATAGGATTGGAGGGAAAGGTCCAATTCATTTGCCTTCACTCCTGTGCCTAGAACTGGGCCCGGTGGTACATAGTCGGTGCTCAGTGATGTCTGTGGGATGGAGTGAGCTGCCAGGAATGGCCCAGCACTCAGATGGCTCAATAGACAACCTGGTGAAATATTGGAGTTTGCTCCTGGGGGTTACTGGGGCTTGGCTCTCTCATGCTCAAGGTCATACATGTTAGCTCATCTCTTCTGCCTGTTTCTTCACTTGTCAAGGACTTTTTCTGACATGAAATGGCTAAGATAAGTCTTACCAGCTTCTCATCTCCACAGAGGAGTTGGGAGGCAAGATGTAGGCAAAGACTTGAGGGTGGGATGTGGGTAGACAGGTGCTGCTCTGGCTGGTGTCACTGCCCTCACTGCCCACCCTCCTTTCCCTGCAGGGAGCAGCTCATTGCAGAGTGCATGGCTAAGATGCCACAGATGATTGAGAACTGGCAGCGGCAGCAACAGGAGCGCAGGGAGAAGGAGAAGGCAGACAAGGAGCGGCGGGCCCGATTGCAGGCTGAGGCCCAGGAGCGCCTGGGCTACCACGTGGACCCGAGGAGTGCCCGCTTCCAGGAGCTGCTACAGGACCTGGAGAAGCAGCAGCGTAAGCGCCTCAAGGAGGAAAAACAAAGACAGAAGAAGGAGGCACGAGCTGCCACAATAGCCGCTGCTGCAGCCCAGGACCCAGCAGCCTCTGTGCCACCCAGCTCCTGAGCTTTGTTCTTTCTCAATAAAACCTGCTGCCTGACAACTCCACCCCTGGAGAGCTCTGCGTCCTCTCTCAATGTGGCCATCCCTGGGCCCCCACCCTTCCCTGGCTCTGCTCACTCGGGGACTCTAGGCCATGCCAACTAACTGGGGCTTCAGGGGCAGAGAAAGGGGGTATGCAATGGGGAAATAATGGAGGAGCAGATGGCAGACGACAAGGAGGCTTCTGTTTACCAACATTAATCTCTAGTAATTAGCCAATTACCAGGGGAAAAAGTGTAGCCAAAACAGACTGGTGATGATGGTGGGGGGCAGGGAGAAGCAGACCTTCCAAGGCCAAGCTGGAGCTGGGGCCCACTGCCTGGGAATGCGACAGCTTCCAAGGCAGGAGGATACACTGGGAGCCCCAATCTGCAGAAGCTGACAAACCATTCTGCCCCTTGGCATTCCCATATCACCTGTGCCCAACTAGCCCCCAGAGCCAAGTGAGCTGGAGTGGGAAGCCCCAGCAGGCACAGACCACAGGATGGGCTTTTAAAACTTTATTCACTTCAAAACCTTTATCAGAGACACGGTTCTGTTCTGGGGTGGGGGTGGCCTTGACTTCTAGAACAGCTCTGATGTTACCCCTTCCTTAGGACAAACCTGGCCGCCTCCTCCCCAGTGAAGGGATGCAGGCTGGAAGCCAAGACCAGACTGCAGAGTGGGACTTGGGTCTCTGACTGCTCACCCCAGATGGAAAGATTTGGACCACTCCAATGGAGGATCAAAGTTTGGGGCTCTGGCTTCCCGTCACCCTGAAAGAGGGTGGGGGTGGTCTCAGGCTTTGGGGGATGGGGAAGCAAGCAGCCGCCTCTCCATCTGGCTGCAGGGAGCTGGGACAGAGGCCAAGAGGGGCCCATCTGTCACCTCCGGTCCTGCCAGCTCCTTGAAGCAGGCTGGGGTGGGGGATGGGAGGACAGCTGTCTGGCCCAGGTCTTCTCAGGCCAAGATGGGAATGGGGGCCATTTGAGGAGGGTGGAAATTGAGGTGTTTTTTTTCTGTTTTTTTTTTAAGGTTTTTGATTTTTTTCCACTTCTTAAATAAACATGAATATATATATATATTTTTTCTTTTATAAAACTTTTTTGGAGTTGGGGTTAGGGGTGGGGCGGTAGGCAGCCTGGCCTCCCGGCATTACTCGTCATCAAAGTTCTGACTCAGGAGAAAGTTGGCAGCCAAGTTCTCGTTTTTTTCACAGGCGAAGTAGGCCTGAATCACCAGACTCTCTGGGAAGCCCAGGGCCTTCAACTGTGGGAAGATGAGCAGGTATAAGTAGGGTGTGAGAGCCCGCCCTCAGCACCTCAGTAGTTGGGCTGCCCCTCAGCCAGTCCTCTTACCCTTTCTATAGCTTCTTTCTCCTGCGGCGTCACCTGGATGTAGTTCATTTGCGGGGCCTCCTCGCCTATGGCACCCACCTCACCCTCCACATCTGAGATGTCTGCTAGCTCCCCAGGAGGCTCATTCAGCATCTGAATAAACTGCTCCTGGTGCCGGCTGATTTGCTGTGGGAAACGAGAGCAAGGCACAGTGACCCACAGACCTTACTTTTTCATTCACTCAGCAAACGTTTAGAGGGTGCCTATTCAGGCCAAATATCAACTCAGGTAGTAGACACAGACCCTATCTTGGTGAAGCCAATGTTCCAGAGTGGGGAGATGGACCATAAACAACTAAACAAATGGACATTTACAATGTAAGTACTGGGCCTGGCATACAGTAGGGCAGACATTGGGCTAAGAAAGACACTTCATGCCAGGAGAGAGGGAAGTTTCCTCCAGGTAGAACAAACAGCAAGTGCAAAGGCCCGGGGATAGGGATGCATCTGGCAAATCACTTAGACAAGATCTGAGTGGCAAAACCAAGTAAACAAGAGACGGACAAAATAGCAGAAAATAAGATCAGAGAGGACAGGAACCTTACCTATTTTCTTCTAGTGCCTTCTAGTGAGATGGGATACCACAGTGGTAATAGGTAAATCTGTATACCTTTTAAAAACAATCCCTCTGGATGTTGCCTCTGGGAGTTCTGATACAACTTTCTCAGACTTTTGTGTACATCTGACACTTTTTGTATCAAAGAAAAAAAGTGCTTTTTCAGGACTCTAGCTCCTAATGGAGAATGGAGCATGGAGGCTGTGAAGAAGTAGAAGCCTGGGCAGTGGCTGCCAAGCAACCAGGTATGAGATGAGGTACCAGCCATGGAGATGAAGTGTAGGGCTGGGCTGACTGAGATGTTCCAGAAATAGAACAGAAATGACATATGATGGATGACGCCAGCAGACCTCCAGGGCCTAGGGCTCAAGCAACCCTAGGCTAGTCCTTGTGGGCCAAAGAGAACTGAGAGGTTTGTTCTGAAACCTTAGATGTCTGTAAAGCACTTTCATGGAGGTGACAAATCAGCCATAAAAGAGCATGGCATCCAGAGGTCTGGGCAACCAGGGGTCACCACAGACTGAAGGCCCCAGGACAATATGTGGGGAAAACTGGGTATAGAAAAAGTACCTAGCATCTAGAAGAGATGAACAGGAGCCCACAAAGGACCGAGAAGTGGGGAGGAAAGCAATAGACACTGGTTCCTAAACCAGGAGAAGCAAGCCTTCACAGAGGACCCAGAGGTCTCCTCACACCCAGGAGCCAGTATCCCTCTGCCTAGGAACCTTCCAAGGCAGGACTGGATCTTGCTGAACATGGTCCCAGAGCCAACTGGGGCACAGCGATCCTGGACACTGCCATATAACTCTGTGAACATTTACGAGCCAAGCCACAGTCAGAGTCACAAGACACAGAAGGCAGAGCACAGAACACAGAGATTGGAGGCAGAAGATGCCCCACTGCCCAAGCCTCTAGTGCTTTCTTCCACAAAGGCATTAACAGCACCCATCCCTCAGAGAGGTTGGGAGGATTACATAAAATGGTGTAGGTCATCAGGTCACAGGGAGCAGCAGAGGGCTGTCGTTAGTCCCACCTTCCAAGTAGAGTGGAACACCTATGTACGGTGCTGGGCCAGGCTTAGGGGCTATGGCTCTCACAGGGGAAGGGAGGTGGTGTCCATGCTGGCTCCCTCTACCCCCAGGGCCACACCTGCAAAAGCTGTGGATTCTCCTGGCCCAGCTGCTGGAGCAGTGCAGGCAGAAGCGCCGGGTTCTGCTGAATCACCTGCCGCATGTTCTGGAACTGGGGTTGGTCCCGCAGAAACTCCAGGGGGTTCTCTCCCGCTGACAGGAGAAAGGCAGGTGGTTAGACCCCAGGCTGGGCTCCCAGAAGCGTGGGGGCTGGGAGGGAGAGGAGTCATGTCTTGACAGCAGAAACCCCACATGCATACCTCCCAACTCACTCACCTGCTTCTGTAGCTGGCTGCTCGGACACCTGGCTCTCCTGGACAGAACCATGTTCTGGCTCGGGGCTCCCAGGAATTCCCTGTCAGGGGTCCTATTTAGTTCTAATGCACAGACCACCCGCTGCCTCCCTCCTGCACACTCAGCTCTGGCAGGAGACAGGTGAGACGTCAGCCCCGCCCTCCACGGGCCCACCTCTCTGCCCATGTCTGGCCTCCTACAAGAAGCCTTTCCTGGCTGGTACCATGACCCAAAGGCTTCGGGGGGCAGGGTTTGTCTTCCTGACCACCCATCAGGGTGCTGAAGCCCAGGTATTCCTTGAAAGCCTCCCAAGGAGGCAGCAGCCCCACCTCACCGTGAGCAGATACTCCACGGCTCGGTGGGGGTTGTTGTAGCTGGCTCTCAGGGCGGCCACGACCCGTTCCCGCTCATAGCCCATGGACATGATCTCCGTCAGCATCGTCTCATACTCAGAGCCAGTCACTGTGGAGGGAGCAGCAAGGCCTGGGTCACCAGGGAGAGGAAAGGGCAGCACCCAGGCTCTCCCGAACCCACACAAGGCCCATCTGATGGCTGGGGCACCCAGTCACTTCTGCCCCAGGGACCACCCACCCACCTAGTGTGGAGGCCGCGTCTTCCTCTCGCCCGCTGCTACCTGAAGAAGGAACAGAGCTGCAAATTCAAGAGAGAGAAATCGGACCCTGGCTTCTGGCGGCTTGCCCTCCCCCTGGGTACATGGGGCCACATATGTGGGTGCTGCAATGTGTTGGGAGGACAGGGCCCAAGCTGGGGCTGCTGCTCCCTGCCTTACCCTGACACAGACTCCGGGGATGTCGTGGGGACCGATTCCTCCGATGGGCTCTTGTCTTCTCTGGCGGTAGGTGGGGAATGGGACATGCCTGAAGCAGGGGCTGGCGAGAAGGACGTGGAGGACTCTGGAGCAGCAGTGGGTGAAGCCTCTGGGGGTACTGATGTGCCTGGGCTGGTTTTAGCCTGTGACACCCAGAATAAGGGAGCAGGCCTCAGTATCCCTATCAAGCCCCAACATCCAGCCACGTTTTAACCCCGCCCTGTTCACGGCTAATCTCCCCAAGGCACAGAGGCTCTTGCCAGCTCTCTAACTAATCCACATACCCTCCCAACCAGCACACTTCACCCACCTTGGTCACCATGACAACCACAAAATTCTTCTCATCTATGCGATAGTCCCTGATAGGGACATCATCACTCAGGATCTTGCCAGCATAAATGAGTTTCTGTCCAGCCACGGGGAAGGCATCACGTCCCTTCTCAGCTTCTATCTTCTCCTTTAGCACCTTCACCTAGAGAGAGTAGTCATTGCAAAACCCAAAATTCTCATTCCCCTCTAGCTTGGGGGTGGGGGGAGGGGGAAGGCTGCAAGCCCTGATGACAAAGAAGCCAAGCATGCTAGATTCATATTCAAGCATGCTAAATTTGAGTTCATTTGATCATCCCAACATTCAAAATGAGTATTTACTGAACACTTATAATGTGTCAGGCAGTGCTTCAGCGAAGACAAAGCAAGACAAAACAAGGAACAAAACATAGACCCTGCTCTCATAAATGACACTCACGTGAAAGAAAAAGAAACAAACTTCAGGTAATGTAAAGTATTATGAAAAATAAGACATGATAAAGAGAAGTAGAAGAGTGTCTCATTCCACACTGCAGATAGCAATCAGCTTTTACTGAGAGCATCTAAATGGATAGAGCCATCTTTAATATATGCGAACCACACCTTTAAAGCCTCACAATAACTGTATGGAATAAATACTAGTAGTCTCATTTCATATTTAAGAAAATAGAGGCACTGAGAAGTTGAGTAACTTCCGCAAAGTCAAACTGTTGAGCAGGTCAAAAGACCTGTTTCCTTTTCAACAAAATGTGTACGTCAATGTCTCTATCATGGGTAGTCGTGCAAAAAATTGTCAATAGACAGGTAGGCACTTAATACGTTTGTTAGATCCTAAGTTCTTTTCAGCTAAAAAGATACAATAACATTTAGACCATGGGTTCTAACATAAGGGAGAACCGAGTTTGAATCCTAATTTTGCCATTACTTGCTGTAGGTAACTGTGGCAAAAGTTCCTTAACTCTAGGTTTCCGCATCTGTAAAGTGGGGAGTCAGCCCCTAAATGAGAAACTTATTTTGAAGATTTATTAAGATAACAAAAGTAAAACCCTCAGCGATTAGCAAAGAACAAACGACCAACAAATACGGACCACTGAAACTCAGACCAATTATCATTATCGTCGCTGCCATCATCAGTCGGCATCCCCGGGCCACTACTCCCAGATTTGGCCACCAACGTCCGGAGATGCCTGCAAAGCTGGGAACCCAGGCGCCCCGTCCCAGAGAGCGCGGCCCAGCGGAGCATCTGAGCCTGTGGCTCCCGCACCCCGCGAGAACGCTGACATTGGAGCCGGGGCCTGGCAGGCGCTCCGGGGGTGGGGCTTCGTCCGGGGAACGACCCTTGAGCGCGGTCAGGGACTAGGCCGGGGACCATTGGGGGGAAGGGGTCTCCCGGAATGTCAGACAGGTTGGGAGGGGTGAGCTGGGCCCGAACCGCGCTAACCTCCCAGCTCCTCTCGCCGGGATCCCGGCCTCCCCGCCCCCACCCCAGCCCCGGCACCCGTCACTCCCGCCCCCGGGCTCTAGCCTGGCTCGCACCGTCTCGTCAAGCTCCATGCGGATCTTAAAGGTCTGCTGCTGCAGCGTTTTGAGTGTGATGGTGACGGCCATGGCGGGGCCCGAGCGACGCGGCGGCCCCGGGATCCTCACACAACATGCAACTCACGCCGCCGCCATCTTAGCGCCCAGCCGCGCCGCGCGCCGACCGCTTCCGGGGCAGGCGCTGCGCGCGTCCACTCTCAGAACGCGTGACCTGCGCGCCCCCGCGCCCCGCCCCGAAGGCCTTCGTGGGCATGCGCACGAGAACGCCCTCGGGCCAGGCGTGCGCAGAGTAAACTCTGCTCGCAAAAATGGGAGGGTGCTTGTCCCTAAATGCGCACACCCGTCACGTGACTGCCTACAAGTGACGCCATGCCCGTTAGCGGTGACGTCATGCGGCCACAAAATGGCTCCGAAGTACCCCCTTTTACTTTGTTATGAATTTCGTTTCTTTACAACGTTGAACAAAAATTTTCATGTGCTCGTTATAGATACTTGTATTTATTCAACTTTTTTGCACGTTCCAACTGAGTTTTATTCTGGTCCAGCCACTCTGGCAGGAACCCTGTCAGGCCCCGAAAGCAGAAATTACTCAAGACTAGAAAAGATATTTGAAAGGTCACCAACAATAAAAAAAAAATGAAAATTCTAAAAGACACAGTTGACTGTGAAAGCAAGAACAAGGGGCCATGTTGTGGCCTCATTCATTCATTTCTGAGGGAGATGGATTTTTTGGAATGATCCTACAGTTCAAGTTCTTAGGTCTCCCATCTTTGCCACTCCTTCCCTAACCACTTTGTTCGTGCCACTATACCAGTCTGACCCAAAAAGTATTTTAAAATGTTAACTTTAAGGCTTCTCTACATTGACTACAGAATTCTCTCCATACCAATCCAGGAAGCTTCCCAGAGGGGTGGGGCTGGGCCACAGGCGACATCCAAAGAACAAAGACTTGGGGGTTGCTGGCCAAAGCTGAAGAGGGTGTTTGGGGGGACTGGATGGAGGTTAGGCTGGGCTTATCTCCCAGCTATTGGGTGGAGACCCCTACCCCGCCCAGGATCCTGAACTGACCATTATCTCCCACCAAACCTACTCTTCTCACCATTCCCATCCAAGCACTCACCTAGGCCTGGCACCAGTCACTTGACAACTCAGGCAATGCCCAGCTGTAACAAGGTCCTGCTGCTTCTGCCTTCACTGCATGCCCTGATCCTAGTTTTCACCAGGATAGACCAGTCCACTTGTCTTTCTCCTACAATAAGGTCATCAGCTGCAGATCACCTATTTGACTTCAGTGGCAGTGTTGTGGACCCCAAAAGAGTAGGCCTAGCCCGTTCAAGAGCCCAAGACCACCTCTGCCACCATGTCTGCACCAACTCAACCTTTGCACCCTCCTTTGGGGTTACCTCCCCCTTCAAGAAATTTAAATTCCAACTTAGCCACTTAGACCATTGGTAAGTTATATATCTTATTTCCTTAATTAGGCCAGGAATTAATAGCTTTTACCACTGGGTGTTATTAAAATTTTTAAATTGTGCTATTGGCTCTATGTAGTCTTGCTCCATTATAGGTATAGAGATAAATATGTTCCATGTAAAATACAGTATGAATGGTGTCTTAAGGTATGGGTTTAAATCCCTGACCCACCTCTCATAAGTTCTGGACTTGTCTTCCCATCAAACTGAATTGGTAGTAGAACCCAAACTCACCAGTCCAGTGCAAGGACTCAGTAATACATGAGAGTATTTGTTAATGCATTTACTTTCTCTTCGACTGCTTTGTGGGGGTAAATAAAGGCCTCTAACATTATGGGACATTTGACCAACACTTTAAAAAAGCCTTACTCAAGAGACATCCCCTAAGAAAAGGCCACCTTTGGTTCCCTAATGTGTACCCTCCCCCAGAAGAAGACATGAGAAGAAGACACAAAACTTAATTTAATAGAAATTTTGTTTGTAGTTCTTACATTCTCAGTGTGAGCTGAGCTGGAACCCACTGCCCCACCCAGAAGCGGCGCAGTCTTGGAGGCAGGGGAGAAAGGGAGGGGGTGAGGGTTGGGGTGGGTGGACAGAGCTCGGGCCTCATTCTTCTTCAGTGCTGGGAGGCTGGGCACCACCCTCTTTTCCTGCCCCCGCCCCCAATTTGGGATCCAGCAAGGAGAGTAGATGGAATCTTGGGCCTGGGGCTTCTCCTCGATAGCCCCTATTCCCCTCAGGTTGTAGGGGAACTAAAAGATCTGAGAAGAAAAGGGAACAGAGAAAGACAAATATGTCAAGAAAGATGAGGGCCAAGGGTGAAGGCTGAAGGAGAGAAATCAGTCAAAACATCAGTTAAAAAAAAAAAGCGGGGAACAAAAAAAATCCACCCCAAATGTGAACCCGCTTGAAAAAAAGGAAAGTTCTCCAGTCTCATAGAGACATTATTTGGCGCGGCTGGCTCTTCCGCCGGAGCGCTCAGGCCTCAGTCCAGCCCTGGAAGGCTCGGTGTGGCCCCTACAGCTCATCCTTGGCCTGGCCAGCGGCAGCATCTTCCTCCTCTTCCTCTTCCTTATCATCCTCGTCCTCTTCATCTTCATCCTTATCCTCGTCATCGTCCTTGTCTGCCTCTTCCTCCTCCTTACGCTTCTTGTCCTCCTCCTCCTCCTTCAGCCTCTGCTCTTCATCCTGCTTGTCCTTCATTTGCTTTTCTGCCGCCTGCACACAGAGCACACACTCAGGGTCTGGCTTCCACCCAGCAGCCCTACCCGCCCCAGTCCAGGACTGGGAAGACTGGACCCTGGCCCCACCTTTGTGACACCCCACGTCTCGTTGCCAAACTCCTCAGCATACGCCTCGTCGTTGGTGATGAGGAAGTTGTCGAAGATGGTACCAGACTTGACCTGATGGTGGGAGTGGATGGGGGTGGTCAGAGGGGACATCCCATGGCCCTGGCCTTGGGCTTCATAACCACTGTACAACGCCACAGCCTTAACACTGCTGTTAAAAAACGGGCTGTGTTCAAACCCAAGCTCTGCCCTTTCCTGCCTATATGACTCTGGGCTAGTGACTTTCTGCACCTCAGTTTCTTCATTTGTATAACAGAGTCTCACCCCTTGGTTCAAATATTTTCCCAGCACCTACTACTGTCCTAGGCACGAGAGGTATGTCAGCGAAGCCAATTTTCTAATGGGGCCATCTAATCATCTAGGTTGTTGGGGGCGGTTAATGAGTTGATTCGCATAAAAGTTCCTGGGGGAGTGCCTAGCATAGTACATAGAACCTCAAAGAGCGTGCTGTGAGAACTCCAGAGACAGACCAGGAAAATTCTTCAGAAAAAGCACCATTTGGGGGTCAGACCTACCTAGGGTTGAATCCTACCCCTGTCCCTTTCCTCCTGGGTGACCCTGAGCACTTGAGGTCCCCTAGGGATCCTCCTGTTCCCTCCATGTCTCACCTGCCAGAGGTCTAGGCCCAGCACAGCAAAGTTTTCATAGGCATAGATGTTGCTATCAGGAGAATACTCAGGGTTGTCCACCTCTGGGTGGATCCAAGTGCCCTTGTAATCCGGGTTGTCTATCTGCCGGGGTTTCCACTCACCCTGCGAAAGGAGAAGGGAACTAGAGGTGAGCGGAGGTCAGCATGCGCTCCACTGTGCATATCTGCCCTGCTAGAAACCCCAGACCCACCTTGTATTCTGGGTTCTGAATCACTGGTGGTTCCCACTCTCCATCCATCTCTTCATCCCAGTCCTCGGGCTTCTTAGCATCGGGGTCAGGGATGTGCTCAGGCTTGTCCCAGTCCTGAGGATATACCAGAAGATCAGAGGCAGCTCAGCTGTCCACCACCTTTCCATGGTGGAGAGTCCCTGCGCAAGTACCAACCTCAGGTTTGGAGTCTGTGGGGTCATCAATCTTGGCTCGTTCATCCCAGTCTTCGGGCTTTGAAGCATCAGGATCTTTTATCTTCTTGGGTGGCAGAAAGTCCCAGTCGTCCTCCAAAGAGCCTGATTCTACTTGGCTGTTATCAATCTTCACCTCATAGGTGTTATCGGGCCGCACGATCAGTGTGTACAGGTGTGTGAATTCATCATCCTGAAGAGGGAAGAAGGTGAGTGGCCCCGCCCACCAGGATGGCCTCTGAGCCTCCCCAGGCAGCCATTTGTCACCACCCCAGGCACACCTTGCAACGGATGTCCTTATTGATCAGCACGTTCTTGCCCTTGTAGTTGAAGATAACGTGAACCTTCTTGGTGCCAGGGCCACAGATGTCAGGGCCTAGGTGAGAAGCAGATCCAGAGGCTGCCTGTCCACCAATGCCAGGCCCCCCCCCAACTCTTTATAAAAGGAAGACCTGATTCCTAAACTCAGATCTGTAAAGACTTAAAAGACAGGATTCAGATCTTATCTCTAGGAGGCAGTGAGTGGAGCCTTAAAATAAAATCCATGGTCTAAACTCAGTATCCTCACTTGTAAAATTGAAAATAACATAATAAAACCACACAAATTAACAGCCTCAAACCAACA